TACCAGCTGCTGTTCGGATAACACTGTTTAATCCTGTCGTGCACGAAGGACCGCCTTCAGTTATTCGTGCACTCTACAGCCCATAGCACTGTAAACATGGTGATACGCTGTAAAGAAGACAAAGCCACAATCACTAGGACAGCACTTGTATTAACCCGAGCTTTCGGCTTCGTACACGAGGCCATCTTCAAAGAAAATGAGAGAAGGGAAAGCATTGACATGTTTTCTGGTCCAGCTACGAAAAAATGGGGGCAGCAGGAGGGGAAGCATTCGTGATTGGTTGAGTCCACGCCCACGTCGTCTCCCGTATGGTCTGGGCGTGCATCCTTGGCATTATAGCGTGCGATTTTGGCACTGTGGCCTGCGTTCTTGATGGGGCAGCATGTGTGTCTGGACACGATGTTGACCGTGCTTTATGGTCGCGCGAACGGAGGGCAAAATAACAGGGCGGTATATCCACATGCCTGTTGATGGAATTGGAGTCTGACATGCAGGCCAGGATGATGGCCTTCTTGTCATCTTTGCTAGGCATTAAACTTAACACAAAGGTAGCACTTTTGCCGCAACTGTTGAGCTCGTTGATCGTAAATGAGTACGAACCTTGAGTACGGAAGAGTTGCGCAAGTTCAAAATGGAAAAGGACTGATTTTCTGTTAAATTTCTTGCTAAAATCTTGTTCTCTATTGATAGCAGTTCAAGTCAGAGGAAGACACGATCACTGGACAAAGAGAGGTTTGTTGGCTTGACGTTTTGAATTCTCACTTGAATCCCTCGTCACAGCCGGCTAGAGCTAAGGGTAGTGCAGGCAAAAGGAGTGCGGTACCTCTGGCACGTAGTGGCTGTCTGACCACAAAGGTGTAGTGGCCCAACTCCGCGCAGACCCTCGTGCTGGCAAACCTCGACCTACTTATTGGACGGCTGTTGACTATGCGATAACCCCCACAGTAGCCTGGTCTTAATCCCCAATTTTTCTGCTCATTGGCCTTTAAGGCCAACTCACAAGGACCTCAACGGGGTGACTGTCCTTAGGCCGGCACTCCGTCCCAAGCCGCCCTAGCGGGTGGACGTGCGGTCCACTTACGCCTGCCTATTCTCCATTCCTTCTGTACAGAATAAACTGACCCTTCCACATTGGCCGCCCACCTCTTCTTCTAAGGAACCGGGCCCGAAGATCGCAGGTGCCAGGGTTTCACTTACTTAGCCCCCTACGATAGGAGTATCATAATTAACAGCTCTCCTGATCATCGCTGGGCGTGGTAATTGTTGCCGTGAGGGATTAGCGGTCCATTTGCGAGCCGTTAATTTATAAGATTTCATCATGTGTGTCTCCGGTTTAACGTCATCTCGTAGGCACAGCCCAGCGAATGCATATGACCTTGGAGGCAGTCCGCTGTTGACAAAGGAATCATTGTGACAGTCAGTAGCAGGCACCACGCCTCAGAAGAGCCTGCGAAGTTGCTAGCATTGGGTCGGGCTACACTCCTAACAGTTAGTGTAATAATTACTCGGAAATTTGGCTCGCCAACATTGGAAGTGTTGATCAATCCCGCGCTCTCCTCATGTGCCCGATTCCTCTGTTCAGACAAAGTCACAATACAGAATATGGGAACAGAAGGCCATTGCGCTTGTTGATGGACTGCGGGCCTGAGAACCACGACTCGAGCAGCTCACAGCTCACATTATTTTCCCTCCTTGCGAGGATTTCGGCCTCGTCCAACTGGAAGCTGTAGCCTGAGGCCACCAAATTACCCATGCTCTGGTACGTAGTGTCATTCTTCCGTACTGTTTCTGCGTGTCCAGCCATCCGCTTTCCGAATAGTCTCCCA